GGAATAGATACATCAAAGTTTTTTATTTTGTTTCAATTTTGGCCTGTCAATGTCCAATTTCTCCAGCACCATTTGTTGATAAAGCTAGCTTTCCTCCATTGATTATGGTCTCCAAAGCCTTGAAATCAAGTAGGCTGATCCTTTATTATTCTTTTTCAAAACTGTTTTAGCTAGAGGGGGCAGGGTGGCTCTGTTGGTTAAGCTTCTGACTTTGGCTCAAGTCATGATCTCAAGGTCCTGGGATCCTGCCCTACACTGGGCTCTCTGCTCACCTGGGAGTCTGCTTCTCCCTTTCCCTTGGCTCCTCTTTCCCCTCGTGTTCACACTCTGTCTCTCATAAATGAATAAAACCCTTTAAAAAAATGTTTTAGCTATTCGTTATCTGTTGTGAGCAAGAGTTCTGTGATTTTGCAAAAAATGAAAACAAAAACAAGAAAAACAGAAGAAAAATACTATTCCCTTTGGAGCATGATTGTGAGATTATGGGGGATGACCCATATGAAATATTTAATATAGTACCTGGCATACGATGTAGACACTTAGATTCCTTCCTACTGATTTTAAACCAACCATCAAAAATTGTTCACATACACACGCTCACACACACCTCTCCTCTAGTAGTACTTTGTGTCTTCAGTTTTCTTGAAATGTGTTGTATATGCAACCAGGTACGAAATACACCATTGGTTTAAAAAAATACAGACACACACACACACACACACACACACACACACACACGAAGGAAACAGCTCAAAAAGACCAGCCGTCACTCCCATCCACATCTGTACGTACAAAATATCCTGTTGCCATTTCCTTCCCACATTCTCAGCTTTAGATATAAAAAGCTCTGGTAAGGACTACAATCTACCAGGCGGCTTTCATCTCATCCCAATATAACAGAACTGTTCTGATGCCCAACCACAATAGGGGGGAAAAAAAACCCAAAAATCTGTACATCACACAACTCATCAGAACCTGTTTCTGAATAAGATACTGGCTACCACTGACAAAATGCAAGTGTCCCTTTTCATGTTAGCTCTCTGGCCTCCTTGCTGTTCCTCCCACTTCCCAGATATACTGTGGCTTTTGCCCTGGCTCAGATTTGTGCCCAGACATCCACATGGTTCTAGCCTTCATCTCCTTCAGATGTTATTGTAATGTCACCTTCTCAGGGCAGCCATCTCTGCCCTGTCTATTGAAATCACCCCACCCCACCCAGAATGATCTGGTCTCCTTCCCTCCTGTATTTTCCTATTGCCTCCTATCACCATCTAACATAAAACACGTATATTTGCTCATTTGATATATTTGATTGGATTATTTTATCCACTAGCAGGTAACCTCCATGAAGGTCATTTTCACTGCTATACCCTTTGTACCTAGAACAGTGCTGACATATAGCAGTCACTTGATAAATATTTATTGAGAGAATGAAGTAGAGACTGTTCAAAAATCATTGCTGAGTGTCATAGCTTTTGACTAGAATACTTAAATCTAAGACCAGCGGCAACTTTAATAGGGATATTAAATCTTTATAATCTCTGTTCTTCTAGGAGAATGTCAATCAAATAAACACATAAAAATAGATAAATTCATATTTCACAAATTCTTCTATTTCCTTCCCCAAATCACCTCCCTCTCCAACACCCACCCTGAAAAAGATGAGAAATCAAAGGAAAAATGCTTCTCTTGTCCATAGGCCTTCTCTATGTCTTTATTTGACTGTTCAGGCCCCAAATTTTGGAGACTTTCTCCTACCCTTACTCAACTGAGAATCTGTAACCACTCCCACTATCTTTACTGCTGTTATCCTTTCTGGCCACTATCAGCTCTTCCCGAAATATGGAAAATTGTCTTCTAACTGGTTTCCCTGCTTCCAAATTTGACCCTCCACAATCTTTATTTTCCAATCAGTCATAGTGTTCTGGACTGCATTGTGTCCTAAAATTCATATGTTTGAGCTGTAATCCCCCATGTGACTGTATTTGGAGACAGAGCCTTTATGGAAGTCATTAAGGTTAAATGGGGTCATGTGGTTAGGACATTAATCTAATAAGCTTTTCACCTTATAATAAGAGATATGAGTGAGCTCAGACTCCCTCTGCCATGTGAGGACACTGCAAGAAGGCAGCCTTCTTCAAGCCAGGAAGAGAGCTCTCACCAGAGCCCCACCATGCTGGCTCCCAGATCTCAGACTTCTGCTTTTAGAACCAGGAGAAAATAAATTTCTGTTGTTTCAGCACCCAAACTACCTAATACATGGAGTAAGTATTCTGAGACCTAAGTCATACTATGAACTCCTTCTGAGTAGAACCTTCTAATGGTTTCCTATTCCTCTCAAGACTCTTAAGAGCCTTAACAATCCTAGAAGCTGCCTCTGGGAACCTATAAATTCTGGCTCCTTTTCTTCCTCATGCCATTTCCTACTACGCTCCACCTCTACCATTTCCTTCAGGCACACTGGCCTCCTTCCTATTCTCGAAGCCACCAGGCATGTTCCCATCACAGAGTCTCTGCACTAGCTGTTCTGCCTGCTGGAATCCTCTTTCTCTAGATATTGACATCACTCACTCCCTCACTTCCTTCAGGCCTTTTCCGTAGTGTCATCTTTTCCATGAGCACTACTCTGACCATACACTTTAAACTGCAAACAAGCCCTCCCTCTGCAGAAGGTACTGATGATCCTTACTTCCCCTGTCCTATTTCTTTTCCATAACATGTACCCACTTTTAATAAATCATATTATTATTTTCATATTGTATTGCATGTTTCTTTCTGTTAGAGTATAAGCTTTTGTCTGATTCACTGAGTATCCTGAGCACTTGGTTCACTCCCTACCACATAAAATGCATGAAACAATTATTCACTGAATAAAACTAACAGGAAGATAACCTGAGTTTCAGTCCCAATACTGCTCTTACCATGCTGTATGACTCAGCTTTATATTTCTTTCTTTGTAACACAGAAATTTTGGATCATACTAGAAAGAATGCTGACTTTTCTCCACGGTCCTGGCTTGATTCTTTCTCACCAGTATGCTCTTGTGTTCATACTGTACGGTCCTGCCCCATCCTTCACTAAGCAAGCTCTTTCCTTTCCCAGGGCCTCCCTCCCTCGTTCATAATGTTGATAATCAGCAAATATTGGACAAATTGAAATTTCAATTTCAATTGAAATAATCAAAGTATAAAAGCAACTTCTGAAAACAGTGTTCTGGCTTACAGTGTTAATTGGTCTCTTGTTCTGATTTCTAATTCTAAAATCTAGGCTGGAATGGTATGAGAATACTACAATTATTAACCTAGGATTTCTGTGATGTATTCTCTAAAAATATATTATTTTTTCACACAAATAAGTGTCACTTCAATTTACGTAACATTGAGCGCCTCATTCTTCTCTTTGAAATACTGAATAAGGTTTAAAGATCTTAACTCTCTTATGCCTTCTTTTTGTAGTATTAGTGTCAAAAGGGTATTGAGATTCTGCTAGCAACTTCTCACAGAAGATATTGTAATGAGTTTGAAGTAGGTATTCTAAATGTCAGTTTAATAGACTTGCAACTTCATAGTTAAATTGCATCATCACTTCTAATATAAAGGTACACCTAAGTTATAACTTCTTTTTTAGCAACAAATGTTTGGTTTTCAATACCCTCGAGAATTATTGCAATAAATCCAAGTAAATACTTTTCCAGTTCCTAGCAGTAATAAAAGAGTGAGTCAATGAGTTAGATTATCTGAAATGAGCTTAAATTTCTAGAAATTCAGGTGTCTTTTTCAGCAGGTATTTAGTGATTACCCACTAGGCACAGGTATTGAATGATTGCTGAGGATTAAAAATATAACAGTTCCTTTCTTCAAGTTGCTGAAAGATTAGTAGGTATCAACTCATGTTGAAATACTGAGTTTTAATACAAAGCAAAATTTAAATACAATTCTTAGGTTTATTTATTTATTTATTTTAAGACTTTACTTATTTGGCAGGGAGGGAACGAGAGAGAGGGAACACAGCCAGAGGGAATGGAAGAAGGCTTTCCGCTGAGCAGGGAGCCGGATGCGGGGCTGGAACCCAGGACCCTGGGAGTATGACCTGAGCCAAAAGCAGATGCCTAAAGACTGAGCCACCCAGACACCCGTTTTTCTTATTTTTTTTTTTTTTAAATATTGTATTTATTTATTTGACAGAGAGACACAGCGAGAGAGGGAACACAAGCAGGGGGAGTGAGAGAGGGAGAAGCAGGCTTCCCACCAAGCCGGGAGCCCGATGCGGGGCTCGATCCCAGAATCCTGGGATCATGACCTGAGCCGAAGGCAGACGCCCAACGACTGAGCCACCCAGGTGCCCCCGTTTTTCTTATTATTGTGGGGTTTTTTTTCCCCCAGTTAAATCCAACTAAACGTATTGTAAATTAGGGGAAATTATTTATGTATCTAATTATTTATGCATCAATTAGCATATGGAATTATTTTTCCAAAGATTAGCAGTGGTGACCTATGAGTGATACGTGCATCATTTAACAAATAAGAATGTATTAGCAATAAAACATGTCAGAACAATATTTTCAATAAATTTCAACCCCAGGAACTAAGACAAGAGGTGGGATGTGCTACACCCAAGTGAAACCAGTAAATTTAACTAGAGTTCAACTAGAGGGGCTAGAGGTTCCGGTGCAGAACATTCCTAAAATGATTTTGGGCAAGAGGTCTGCGTCGAGGTCGGAAGAGCAGCCTAGGAGGCCTCAACCGGAATCCCCACTCCTCCCACCCAGGTCTGCGGAAAAACTACAGGCTCTCAAATCCTGCCTTCGGTGTACAGAGCCTCCGAGGCGCTGGAAACTTAGTTGGAGAGGGATCTGATTGGCTAAAAAAAATGAATGACGCAACGAATCTCAGGCCCACTGAGAATCGGCTTGCCCAAGCCTGGCTTAAATTCCGCTTCTGATTGGTCCTTACGCAAGAGAGCTGCGACCTTTCCTGAAATTAACCCCTGGGTCGGCAACCCCGAGTAAAGATGGCGGCGGCCAGGTGTTGCAGGCTAGCGCTCCGCGGGCCGGGGCTGTCATTGCACACTGCGGCCGAAGCCGCCGTCACGGGTCGAGAAGTGACCGGCCCCGATGTCACGGCGGCCCCCGTGGCGCGCTACCCGCCGATTGTGGCCTCCCTGACGGCCAAGAGCAAGGCGGCACGGCAGCGGCGAGTGGAGCGGTGGCAGGCGACGGTGCACGCGGCCGAGTCGGTGGACGAGAAGCTGCGAATCCTCACCAAGATGCAGTTCATGAAATACGTGGTTTATCCGCAGACTTTCGCCCTGAACGCTGACCGCTGGTATCAGGACTTCACCAAGACCGCGTTCCTGTCGGGCCTGCCGCCGCCGCCCGCCGAGCCCGCCCCCGCCCTGGACCTCGCGGCCCTGCGCGCCGCCGCGTGTGACTGCCTCCTGCAGGAGCACTTCTACCTGCGGCGCAAGGGGCGCCTTGCGCTCTACCAGGAACGCGAGGCTCTCGCCTCGCCCTTCCTGGATCAGCTGGTGGCCACCCTCATGGGCCTGCTCGGCGCGCACAACCCAGCCCTGGCCAGCGCCACCCTCGGTGAGTCTTGGGGCTGCGACGCCGGGCGGGGAAGGTGGGGGGACTGTTCATTTCTTTCTTTCTGCGTCGTTCATTCTATTTCTAGGCCTTTCGCGCCTCGCCAGGTGCCACCAGGTTTAGTAGCGGCCCCCGCACTAAGAATCTGCAGACTGGGTTCCCTCCGGGCCTGTGCCGCCACTTACTAGCCATACCACCTCCCACGACTCCAGTCTTTGGTTCCGCGTTGTGAAGGTCCGGCCAAACGGAATGGGAGAGCAGTGTTGGTCAGAAGGGGCTCTCGGCGGGCGGGGCGCACCTGAACTTGACTTTTGGCCCTTCCACCAAGAAGCTACATGACTGTATGTCACTTCATTAACCTCTTTTAGGTTAAAGCAGTTTTTCTCATTCTTAAGATGAGAGTTACGGTAATAGTACTTTCTCGTAGACGCGTGAACATTAAAAGTGATACAGATTTAAATACGTAACATTGACTCAATACTTATTAGGTGCCAAGCCCTCTTCCAAATTTTTATATATGCCGACCAATTTAATCCTCACAGTAACCGTTTATAGTAGGTAGGGCGGTTATATTGTTTTATAAATGGGAAAACCAACTTGAGGTGCAGGAAGGTAAAATGAACCTGGTCAGAGAGCCTGTAGGTGGTGGGTAGGAGTTCAGGATTCAAACCTAGCCATTCCCAGGAACCAGTCAGCAGCTTCTTTTAACTGCTCAGTGGACACGTGAAAAATTAATGGACGGTTTTAAAAATCAGTGTTCCTCAAGATGGGATCTGGAGAGAGACAAACCATAAGAGACTCTTAATCTCACAAAACAAACTGAGGGTTGCTGGGGGGAGGGGGAGAGGGAGAGGGTGGTGGGGTTATGGACATTGGGGAGGGTATGTGCTATGGTGAGTGCTGTGAAGTGTATAAAACCTGGCGATTCACAGACCTGTACCCCTGGGGCAAATAATACATTATATGTTAATAATAATAATTAATTAAAAATTTTAAAAATCAGTGTTTCTGAGGCATTCATTACTTTATGTCTACTGCCTGGTAGGTGTCTTAATAAATATTTATTGAATTAATCTACAGTTATTATAACTGTAGATGTGTGCTCAACTGAGTCCTGTAGTGTGTGTGCATGTTACTTTACTTCTGTCTCAGTTGGGAAGGAAGTGGACTTCAGAGAAGCCTCCTGGATTTTGACTACTCCTGTTGGCTTAGGAAAACTTGACTTTGTTAAGATCCAGATTACTCTTCTATAAACTGGAGGTGATGACAGCTATACATACCTTTGACGGTTATTGTGAAGATTGATTTAGTAGTTCTGAGTCCTATTAAAAACTTTTTATTTCTGCTGAGTAATGTTCCTGTTACATTTATTCTTAATTGCTACAGTGTTTAGTGTATGATTGGTGGCACAAGTAGACAATAAATGTTTGAGCATAATATTTAAGTCAGTCATTTGACTTAAATCATCATATAACCCAGACTCTCTTACATCAAGGAGTAATTTTTGATAATTTTTAATTTGCACAACTATTCTTAAGTTCTGTATTGCTGGTATTCTAATAATAACCAAATTTATCTAAATGATTAAATAAAATTTTGAATATCTTTTGATAGATTGCAAATGCCCGGTTCACTTTTACTGGTTGCGAGGTGAAGAAATTATTTCTAGGGGTCATCGGAAAGGTCGAGTTGATGCTTTGCGATACCAAATAAATGATAAACCGCACAACCAGATTCGAATATCCAAACAACTCCCAGAGGTAAGGATTTATTGTCATAGGCAGCCTAGGTAATGGGCTTAATAGAGTAAAAAGTATTGGGTGGGGCCCTTTCGAATTTCTTGCGCATACTTCTCATCCCAAATTCTTTTTCAGCTTTTTAACCTGTTACGGTATGTATAGTCCTCAAAGGTCAAGTAATCATTTTTAAGCAGGATTAAGGCATCAGTTTTTAGGACCGTACAGATCTTTTCTTTTTCTTACTCTAAAAATATTGGGCACTTGGGTGGCTCAGTCAGTTAAGCGTCTGCCTTCAGCTTAGGTCATGATGCCACGGTCCTGGGATCAAGCCCAGTGGGCTTCCTGCTCAGTGGGGAGTCTGCTTCTCCCTCTTCCTTTGCCTCTCCCACCCCGCTTGTGCTCTCTCTCAAATAAATAGTAAAATCTTTAAAAATACATATAAACAATTGATAATAGTTATGGTTGTGATTTATCATAGACTACAGTACCTAATCGTAAATCAAGGCATTTTTATAATTGTGATCTCGTCATTTTTTATATTTATAGTTCTTTCAGAGAAAATAAGTATATTTTGAGTGCTGTGTACAGACACGTGCACACGTTTTCCCTAAAGGTAAATATCTGACAGTAAATACAGGAAATATCTGAGGCTTTGGGGGGCCATAAACCTGTGTTGCAGCTCTTCATCTTAGTTCTTAAATAATATAACAGCAGTTATGTGAATGAATGTGCCTGACCGTGTTGCAATTAAACTTTATTTGTACAATCAAGTGGCTGGCTGGATTTGGCCCATCAATAGGTTGTGTTACCAAATCATTTGTCAAAAAACATCTCATTTTAAGACTTTGAAGTGTATTAAGAATGTGAGTTGGGATGCCTGGGTGGCTCAGTCGGTTAAGGGTCTGTCTTTGGCTCAAGTTATGATCCTAGGGTCCTAGAATTGAGTCCCACATTGCGCTCCTTGTTCAGCAGGGAGCCTGTTTCTCCCTCTGCCTGCTATTGCCCCTGCTTGTGCTCTCACTCTCTCTGACAAATAAATAAAATCTTTGAAAAAAAAACAAAAACCAAAGAATGTGAGTAAAATATGTACATTAGTACTAGTGTTGTTGTGAATTCATTTATGACGTTTCATTTTCTTGAAGTTTGTGCCGCTGGATTATTCTGTACCTGTCGAAATCCCTGTTATAACTTGTAAGCCAGACAAACTTCCATTATTCAAACGACAGTATGAAAATACCATATTTATTGGTAAGTTTTCTTTTGAAATATTTTGCCATCAATGTATCCGAAGGATCCTGTGCATATTTAAATAATTAATTCTTGATGACCAAAGGTCAGATAGTTTACAAGCATTGCAATTTATAAACTGAGGTGGTTGTAACATGTTTGGAAATTGGGAGAGAAATATTCTTTTAGCTCACCATTTAAAAATTTTACTTGTTTCTACTAAACTAGCAGCATTTAACTTTAAAAAATAGTTTTACTATTTTTTGTAAATAGTACTATTGTAATAGTATTTGTACTATTTTTACTACTAAGTTTTGTTGATCTGTTATGTAGAAAAAGTAATTTTTCCTTTTTCAGAAGTAAACCAGTGCAGAGCCAGATTTGAGGCAGTGATTGGCTTTTTTGTAAAAGTCTTCTGTTTGTGCCACACACTGTGGTAACCATTAGGAATATAAAAATTAATAAGGCCTGATGTCTGGCCTTGTGTAGCTTATACTTTTGCTGTCTTTTTATCTATTAATTCCTGGCTAACTTAAAGATTTTAAGAAACCAGCTTTATACTAATCCTCCAGGTGTATTTTATCAGTGCCTTCTGTGTCACTGTGCTCTTACAGTGTGAATTGTGGGAACTTTTGGTTGAGGTTTACTTTACTACTAAAGTCAGGAATATGAGCATTTCATGAAATATTGTCTCTCATTTTCCTTACTTGGAAATACAGTATAAAATTTTTTTTAAAATTAGGAACAAGGTATGTAATTATTACATTAAAATGAAAAAGGAGACTTTAATGAAATGTAGGTATCATTTGTAGAATAAGACAAGGAAAATACCATAGCTCCCAATGATGAATAAAAGGTTTGAAAAAACTACATAATAGGGAATTTTAAGAAAACTTTACATAACATTCTTTTGACTTATCCTGTATCATCATAGTGGACTTGATGATAGCAGGTTTACTTTCACACGAAGTTTAACTTCATTATAATCAGTGAAATAAATAACAACCTTCCTACTTGTGTATTTCGAATACTGATTACAGGACGTGTAGAGGAGAAAGGTGGGTTTGAAAGAGAGACTAAAGACATGTGCTCCAGATGTTCACATGCAGATTTCATCTGAAATGTTTTTATTTTACTCTTCAGGCTCAAAGACAGCAGATCCATACTGTTACGGTCACACACAGTTTCATCTGTTACCTGACAAACTGAAAAGGGAAAGGCTTTTGAAACGGAACTGTGCCGATCAGATAGAAGTTGTTTTTAGAGCTAATGCTATTGCAAGCCTCTTTGCTTGGACTGGAGCACAAGCTATGTATCAAGGTAAAACTGATTTTATGGCCTTGTTTTTGGAAGGTATGTGTGACATTTTAAGAATTTAGTGGTTTCTTTGGGTTAAGTGTAGGGTGAATCTTAACATTTTGAAAACTTGCAGTGACACAAAACACAGTTGTTTTAAAATTCACAATTAGATATTTTACATTTGCAGTTGGCAAGTGGTGTTTAAATAGTTATTTTGATCTTTTACTTTGACCACTTTTGTGTATGAATGATTTTTTTTCTGATGGCGTCAAGCGGGTGAAAGACTAGCCGGCTAAGTCAGCTCCTTAATGCTCGCAGCTTTCTGAAGCTGGAAAAGGAAATGCTTTGATGGGTTAAATTTTAGATTAAATCACAGTTATTCTATGTAATATCTTTAAAGGCTATATCCAGGATATGGATTAGAAGATTGTTTATTAGACATTCAGTAAATAGTGAATTCTTTCTAGTAACCAAGCAGTGTTAGACTTGGGGATGTAATGTCGAATGAGGCAGAGAGATCCTGCTGTCTTGGAGCTTATAGTGAGGAGAGTAAAAGATAATATACTACACATAAGGGATAAAATGACTTACTGTGTGCGGGTATAAATGAGATATTGGGCCGAATTTATTTAAATGGAGGAACTTGGGGTGGTCTCTAAAAAATGACATCTGAATGAAGACCAGACCTGTAGGAACAGCCTTGAAGTGTTTAAAGAAAATAAAGAAAGGGAGGGGGGGAATAATGGAGGATGAGATTAAAGGAAACCAGAGGCCATAGCTCAGAGGACTTTGAGAGCCCATTGTGAGGCATTTGGATTTTATTACAAAACCTGAAGTAATGAACTGTAAGTAACCAGATTGATCCTATATGAGTTCTCAGGAGGAATTTAATATAGATTTAATTGTTTTCTAGGCTCACCCTTTTTCTCCATGTGTGTGTGTATGGAGAGATTTTATATATATATATATATAAATATATATATAAAATATGTATATGTACATATATATATAAATATATACATAAAATATGTACATATACATATTTTATATATATGTGTGTGTGTGTGTATGTATATATATATATGAGCCTAGAAAATAATTAAATCTATATTAAATTCCTCCTGAGAACTCATATAGGATCAATCTGTGTATATACATATTTTTATATATATGTATATTTTTATATATATGATTTAATCTTTTACTCACAATTTTTTCCTTAAATGGAGAGAATCGGAACAGGATTAGACAGAAGCAGAAACAGGAATCTTTCACAAAAACATTAGAATGGCACTGTTTCTGCATTAAAAGTAATGTGCTACTTTTTTCCTATATTTAATTACAAATGCTAACAATGTTATTCATTGGCTATCTTCCTGAAGGCTGATAGAAAGTATGTATGAGGGAAGAACATTACTGCTTGGCCCTGGCAGTGGGATTTAAAAGTGTTAAAGCCAGTCAGTCTAGAGCAAGAAGTAGCCAGAAAATTTGAGTGGTAAAGGTATGAAAGGCATCCTGGAACCTATGACACAAGATACACAAGGCAAAATAACAGCAGCTCATAAAGCCAATTTTAAAAAAATATGTAAAGGAAGAATAGAACTTGTCTATGATACTTGATTGCAATGCTTAGAAAGTCCATTTTTTCCTGAAGGTTTTTTTTTTTTTTTTTTGTAGATTTTGGTGAAGTAAATGGCCGTAATGGTTATTAGGTGGTAGATGCCACTGGTACCGGGAAAATAAGTGTATTTGGACAGAGTTAGTACCAGATGTAGGGGAGATCTGCATTGATAGAACTTGCTGCCTTTTTTTTAGATGAAGTGAGGTAAGCTGTTGAAGAGCAAAGTTGTTGAGAATATGTCACGAGTTTGGGGATATCAGAAGGGAGGAAATAATTTTTCATGCAGAAATAGAATACAGGATTAGAATGGAGAAGATGAGGAAAACTTTGAGATCTTAAGGAATTTGTAGGTAAGATATTTAGGTTTTGGGGGATATTTAGTACCCTCGACTGTGTAAATGTTTCGTTGCGGTAAAATGTATTCTGTGTGTAAATGTCAGTATAACTCTTTTCTGTAGGGTTTTGGAGTGAAGCAGATGTCACTCGGCCGTTTGTCTCTCAGGGTGTGATCACAGATGGAAAATACTTTTCCTTTTTCTGCTATCAGTTAAATACTTTGGCACTGACTGCACAAGCTGATCAAAATAACCCTCGTAAAAATATATGTTGGGGGACACAAAGTACGCCTCTTTATGAAACAATTGAAGATAATAATGTGAAAGGTTTTAATGATGATGTTCTACTCCAGATAGTTCACTTTCTACTGAACAGACCAAAAGAAGACAAATGACAGCTGTTGGAAAACTAAGAAGAAATAACTGATTCAGGACTTTGGGAATACTTCAGTTTCACTGAAGGGAAAATAAAAGGAATTTTAATAATGAGACTTGTCAAATGCATTGTTTTGAGACAGATATTTCTTATGTTAACCTGTGATTTCGACCTCTCATTCTTCTCAGTCTACACACTGAAAGACTTAATTTTATTTTATTTTTTTTTTTAAAGATTTTATTATTTATTTGACAGAGAGAGAGATCACAAGTAGGCAGAGAGGCAGGCAGAGAGAGAGAGAGAGGGGGAAGCAGACTCGCCACCAAGCGGAGAGCCGGATGCGGGGCTCGATCCCAGGACCCTGGGATCATGACCTGAGCTGAAGGCAGAGGATTTAACCCACTGAGCCACCCAGGCGCCCCAAGACTTAATTTTATTTTATTTTTTTTAATTTTTTTAATTTTTTTAAAGATTTTATTTATTTGAGAGAGAGGCAGTGAGAGAGAGCATGAGCGAGGAGAAGGTCAGAGGGAGAAGCAGACTCCCCGTGGAGCTGGGAGCCCGATGCGGGACTCGATCCCGGAACTCCGGGATCGTGACCTGAGCCGAAAGCAGTCGTCCAACCAACTGAGCCACCCAGGCATCCCTGAAAGACTTAATTTTAAATAGAGTATGTTGATTTGAAGGTAATTTCATTCAAAATGACCAATTGGTGAGACCAGTTGAGCTATCCACAATACTTGGTATTAGTTGCTTGTGATTTTGAAAGGAATGGAAGGACAGTAATTCAGAAGTTTGAGAATAAGTAGACATGTTATATTTTTCTTTTTTGTTTTTAATTTTTTCATTGATAAATGATACAGTTTCAGAGTCTTGCTCAAACTGCTTTAAAACTGTTCTATCCTTGATAGAACAATATTTTGCAAATATGGGAAACTAAGGCCCAGAGGAGTTAAGTGATTTTTCCACAATTTCACTGATGATTAATAATATAACTGATGAATTAAATGCAACTTACGTTCTTAGCACTCAGAGGTAACATTAACAAGTACAGAACTGTTGTTTAGTGTCAGCACCTAACTCATGGCACAGGGTACTCAATAAATATTTGACCCGGGGGCACCGGGCTGGCTCAATCAGTAGAGTGTGTGACTCCTAATCTCAGGATCGTAAGCTCAAACCCCATGTTGGGTGTAGAGATTACTTAAAATCTTTAAAAATAAATAAATAAATTAAAAAGGCAATGTTAACATATTTCCATTCATGTTTTGCTCTATCCCAAAGATGAGGAAACAGGTTCACTATGTTTCAAAATCAGTTGTCAGATGGTAAAATGGTTAAATCTTGTTGAGAATTAAGATTCCTTCAAAACATTTTTAATGAGAAAAAAGGATTACCTTTGTATAATCATACTAACTCTTTATTTTATATAACCTTCTGTTGCGCATATTTAAAACACTCCATTAGGTACTATAGTCATATGACAGATAATCTCTGTTCTTACTTCCTTCCCTCCTGACCTCCCTCTCTTGCTCTCTGTCTTTCAAGACAAAGGCCACAGTTACATTGATCAATCCTCAGCTAGAAGCCTAGGTATTATTGCCATAGATGATTGCTAAACTGAATAGCATCTAAAAGACGTTGTTCAGTTCAGCCAAAGTCTTGCTTTGTAAGACACTGTACTATGTTCCATTTTTAGCACATTATTTTCAGTTTACCCAGAAAGCCGTGTCATTTCATACCACCATTTGTTAATTTAAGCAGTTTCCAAAGCTTAGAATACTGTTCTTTACCTTTGGTCCTATCTGTTCAATCCGTGTATTGCTTCCCCATTCATCCTTGATGGAAAAAGTCAGATGTACAGAGAACCACCAAGCTCCAAGTACAGTGGTATTTCTCTTAAAGTCCGCTTTCACTTCTCTTTTTTCTCTTTGCATCTTGGGCAGTTTGAGTTGCCATCCTTTATTTCTGCTCCCAGAGTTCAAGGATTAAATGCATATGAAAGTGCTTTTAAAATTCTATATAATGAAAATATTTAGGACTCCGTTGAAATACCATTGCTTTCCCGAAGCTGATTATATTTCATTCATGTTTAATTGTCCCATCCTTTGAACACTTAAACCTCTGGTAGCACCTGTTTCATTCTCTTGTAATAATTTTCCTCATTCCAGGGGCGCCTGGGTGGCTCAGGGGGTTAGGCCTCTGCCTTTGGCTTGGGTCATGGTCTCAGGGTCTTGGGGTCTCAGGGGTCTCAGCCCCGCGTCGGGCTCTCTGCTCAGCGGGTAGCCTGTTTCTCCCTCTCTCTCTGCCTGCTTGTGATCTCTCTCTCTGTGTCAAATGAATAAATAAAATCTTTTTTAAAAAAATAATAATTTTCCTCATTCCAAATGGAGAACACATCCCACGTATGTACATACGTACATATAATACATGCCAGGACCTCGCGTAGCACTTACTATATTCTAGAGCATGGTCTAGATGGTTTACGTATATTAGCTCATTTAATCATCAGAACCATCCCAGGAGCTAGATACTATTTCCCTTCTGCAGATGAGTTAATGGCACAGAAAATCCAACAACTTACTGAAGATCGTATAGCTAGAATGCAGCAGGGTTGAAATTTGAGCCCTGGTGATCTGACTCCAGAACTTTCTTACAACCACTCTGGTGTATATTCTTTAATAGTACGCTGTAGATATCAGTGCTACAGAAGTACAACAGTGACATAAATTTAGATACAGGATGGGTTAATTCTGAACAGTATGAATCCTGAAAATGTGTCTTGGCACAAGTGGCATTTGAATTGGTTTTGATAGGTGGCATTTTCCAGCAAGAGGACAGTAAGTGGGTGGAACTGTGAGTGAAGGTGGAAAGCTGCAGGACGTACTTGGGAAATAGGCAGTAACTTCATTTACACAAGTTGCATGTGGCTTAAAAGCAGCTGGGGAAAACAAAAATTATTTACCGAGAAACAAAAATCTAACTGGGCTCAGACTTCTGCATAACACTGAGCGTTAGGAGACAATGTAGCCCTGTCAGACTTCCAGAGGAAATTCACAATAAGAAATCTAGGACCAGGGGCACCTGGGTGGCTCAGTGGGTTAAAGCCTCTGCCTTCAGCTCAGGTCATGATCCCAGGGTCCTGGGATCGAGCCCCACGTCGGGCTCTCTGCTCCGCAGGGAGCCTGCTTCCTCCTCTCTCTCTCTCTCTGCCTGCCTCTCTGCCTACTTGTGATCTATGTCTGTCAAATAAATAAATAAAATCTTTAAAAAAAAAAAAAAAAATCTAGGACCAGTCAAGATAATTCGCAATATAGAACAATTGAAGAAAAAAAGTCAGAACCCAAGTCACTTATAAGTTTATGAAAGTGTACTGCGGTTGATTAGCAAATGATAATAGGAGGAACCAATGAATGGAGATACAAAATGAATATGAGTACCAGGCAAAATTAAGCATGAAGCAGAGTTAGCAGTATTAATTACAAGCAGTTGAGAGCAAAAACAAAATTCCAGTGTTAAAAGGTCATTAATATGTCGTAGATTGTTATGAGTATGCGGAATGTTGATGTAAATCTTAAGTTGGAGTAACTAAAAATAAGGAATAATTAGTAAAATTTACTTAAGAAATTTTGGTACCTTAGAAAAAAGTTTTAAAAATGGGACAGAACTTGTGTACAAAATCATTGATTAGACTACAGAAAGTCTCAGGAGTTTGTTTTTTCTAAGACTTTATTTGTCAGAGAGCAGAAGCAGGGAGAGCGGCAGGCAGAGGGAAAAGCAGGCTTCCTGCTGAGCAAGGAGCCCACTGCAGGACTCAATCCCAAGACCCTGGGATCATAACCTGAGCTGAAGGCAGATGCTTAACCTACTGAGCCCCCCAGGCATCCCTTCAGGAAATGCTTAAAAGCCAGAATTATAGAGGTCATGAACACTATCCATGTCACAGTACATCTAAAAGTTGTTAAAATAGTTTTAATCAGAAACATGTAATCATTTGAAAATAAAAGTGTCTTTCTAAATAACTATAGAGTCGCTATTAGTTTTCCTGGACAGAATATTCAGTGTATAATCAAACATTCCCAGAGCTATATCACAATCTAAAAATGACAGCTATCTTACTTGCCTTTTCATTTTTAGTCACATATATTTTTATATAATCTAGACATTTCCTCTGCTTGACAAATTGATTTTTTTGGACCAAGAAAACATTTTATTAATGTAAAAATAAAACTTAAGCTAGACTAAAATGTAATAAATTGCATGTAAAGCTGGTAGGTTATAGGCAGAGTTATTCTTTTTTTTTTTTTTTTTAATTTATTTATTTGACAGACAGAGATCACAAGTAGGCAGAGAGGCAGGCAGAGAGAGAGGAGGAAGCAGGCTCCCTGCCGAGCAGAGAGCCCGATGTGGGGCTCAATCCCAGGACCCTAGGATCATGACCTGAGCCGAAGGCAGAGGCTTAACCGCTGAGCCACCCAGGTGCCCCTAGGCAGAGTTATTCTAAACACATTTACTCTTAGGGATACATGAAGATGCTGCAGGACATCACCACTAAATAAACATGATTGATCTTCCCTCTGCAGCTGTCAACCGACTTGGCTTTAATACCCTGAGAAAAATTGTATTTCTATTAAACACATGGAGTAGAATATAAAAAGCCACATAATTTTTAAAGAGATAAAACATGAAGTTCAAAGAAACTTTCACTAATCTCAAAACTCTGGTGCTGGGAATGGCCAGCGATCCTTGTATCGACAGATGAAAGATTACTCCAAATTTTGCTGTGAAAGAGAGGAGAAGGCAAGAGGGTCAACGCTCAGAGAGGAAGACCCTTTGCTCTTCTTTGCTCTGCCTTTATTTGTGCTTCAGGACGATCGTAAGTCTTTATCACTCTGTTTCTCAAGCAAGGGATATGTGGCAAGGGGTCTTAGAGAAAATAGAAGAGTCTGGTTACGGGAAAGATATGCTGATCAGCGTGTTCCACAAATTCTCCTAAACAGCTTTAGGGACAATGGATACATCTCTTAGGTCACAGGGCAGCTGTTCTGGCTGAGAAAGCTTGAGGGAAGGCAAACTCCCTACCACATTCCTACCGCATATTGGTCCCGCAG